GAGTAGCTGGGATTATAGGCACGCACCACCATGCCCAGCTAATTTTTTGTATTTTTAGTAGAAACGGGGTTTCACCATGTTGACCAGGATGATCTCGAACTCTTGACCTCGTGATCCACCCGCCTCGGCCTCCCAAAGTGCTGGGATTACAGGCTTGAGCCACCGCGCCCGGCCTAACTTTTTTCTTTTTTTGAGATGGAGTTTCGCTCTTGTTGCCCAGGCTGGAGTGCAGTGGCTTGATCTCAGCTCACTGCAACTCCGCCTCCTGGGTTCAAGTGATTCGCCTGCCTCAGCTTCCTGAGTAGCTGGTATTACCTGCATGTGCGCCATGCCTGGCTAATTTTTTTTTTTTTTTTTTTTTTATTTTTAATAGAGACGGGTTTCACCGTATTGGCCAGGCTGGTCTCGAATGAACTCCTGATCTCCTGATCTGTCCTCCTCAGCCTCCCAAAGTGCTGGGATTACAGGCATGAACCACTGTGCCTGGCCCTTTTAACTTTTTTTAAAAGAGGGTATATTTGAATGAGACTGTGCTATGTAATGTAAAACTAATTCACAAAAAACCTGTAACATTTGGTTGGTGTGATGGCTCATGCCTGCAATACCTGCACTTTGGGAGGCCAAGGCAGGAGGAACAGTTGAGACCAGGAGTTCAAGACCAGCTTGGCCAACATGGTGAAACGCTGTCTCTACAAAAAACACACAAAAATTAGCTGGGTGTGATGGGACATGCTGGTAGTTCCAGCTACTTGGAAGACTGAGGTGGGAGGATCACTTGAGTCTGAGAAGCAGAAGATGCAGTGAGCTAGAATCGTGCCACTGCACTCCAGCCTGGGCTACAGAGCAAAACACTGTCTCAAAACAAAAACAGGGCTGGGCACAGTGGCTTACGCCTGTAATCCCAGCACTTTGGGGGGCCAAGACAGGTGGATAATGAGGTCAGGAGTTCAAGGCCAGCCTGACCAAGATGGTGAAACCCCTTCTCAACTAAAAATACAGAAAAAGTTATCTGGGCATGGTAGCAGGCACCTGTAATCTCAGCTACTCGGGAGGCTGAGGCAGAGAATTGTTTGAACCCAGGAGGTTGAGGTTACGGTGAGCCGAGATCGAGCCACTGCACTACAGCCAGGCTGACAGAGTGAAACTTCGTCTCAAAAAAAAAAAATAAAAAACAAAAACAAAAAAATTTATAACATTTAACAAATAATATTTTAAAGTAAGCATACTTATAAACATTTGTTTAAGAAAACTATGTAGATTAAGACCAAGATGAGTACACGGTTAAATTAGCTTATGTTTAAAATTGTTTTTGTTTTTGTTTTGTTTTGTTTTCTGAGATAGAGTCTCACTCTGTCACATAGGCTGGAGTGCAGTGGCGGGATCTTGGCTCACTGCAACCTCTGCCTCCAGTCTTTAAGCAATTCTCGTGCCTCTCCTTCCAAGTAGCTGGGATTACCAGCACCTGCCACCATGCCTGGCTAATTTTTGTGGTTTTAATAGAGATAGGGTTTCACCATCTTGGCTAAACTGGTCGTGAACTCCTGACCTCAGGTGATCCACCTGCCTCGCCCTCCCAGAGTTCTGGGATTATAGGCATGAGCTACCACGCCCAGCCTCAAATTATTTTTCCTGATTTTTCTTTTTCTTTCTCCTTCCTTCCTTCCCTCCCTCCCTCCCTCCCTCCCTTTCTTTCTTTTTTTTTGTTTGAGATGGAGTCTTGCTCTGTCACCAGGGTGGAGTGTAGTGGCGTAATCTCAGCTCACTGCCTCTGCCTCCTGGATTCAAGCAATTCTGCCTCAGTCTCCTGAGTAGCTGGGACTACAGGTATGTGCTGCAACACCCAGCTAATTTTTTGTATTTTTAGTAGAGATGGTGTTTCACCATGTTAGCCAGGATGGTCTCGATCTCCTGACCTTGGGATCCACCCACCTCGGCCTTCCAAAGTGCTGGGATTACAGGTGTTCGTCACCATACCCTGCCATATTTTTTCCTGATTTTTCTTAATAATGTTGTGTCTGGGCTAGGCCTGTAATCTCAGTGCTTTGGGAGGCTGAGGCAGGCAGATCAGTGGAGCCCAGGAGTGGGAGACCAGCCTGGGCAACATGGTGAAACCCTATCTCATCTCTACAAAAAGATACAAAAATTAGCCTGACATGGTGGTACATGCCTGTAGCCCCAGCTACTTGGGAGTTTGAGGTGCGAGGATCACTTAAGTCCAGAAAGTTGAGGCTTTAGTGAGCCGAGATTGTGCCACTGCACTCCAGCCTGAGGAACGGGAACAAGACTCCCATCTCAAAAAAAAAAAAAAAAGAAAAGAATGTGACTGGTCTGCTAAATCCTGAAGAATCAAAGCAAGGCCCTTTTACAAGGATTACTTTACAAATAAATAAGTATCATAAGTTATGAGTCTAAGTACATGTCATGAAAAATCTCATTCACATTTTTATATTCTAACTTACCTAGCGTGAGTAACCATAGTATTTGGTGCCAAACAGGGCAGGCTAAATACTTAAACCATACAAAATGATTTAGTAAGTGCTTTTATATACATTGTCTCATGTAAGCCTTACAACAACTCATTTAGGTGAGTAGAGTAGAAATTTTAAACTGTTTTAGAAAAGAGTCCCATGAGAAACTCATGGAGATTCTCCAAGTGGACTCGTTCTCAGGTTTTTTGATTCTAGTTTGTCATTCCACAGTATCATATGGTCCACATACATCATTGTACTCTTTCTGTTAAGTTGGAAAAATGCTTTTGTTTTAGGTAAATTCCTCAAAGTTAAATTAAAAATGACTGAAAATCTTTTTATTTATTTATTTTTAAACAGGGTTTCACCATGTCGGTCAAGCTGGTCTTGAACTCCCGACATCAGGTGATCCGCCTGCCTTGGCCTCCAAAGTGCCTGGATTACAGGCGTGAGCCACCACGCCCGGCCTGAAAATCTTAAATTAAAAGTGGTTGGAGTCGGGATTTGATTTCATTTTTAAAGTTTTCCTTAGCATGCTAAAGTAATTTGTATTTGCTTTGCTTCTGCCATCATTAGCACTATTACATTTCTTTCTCAGACTCAAAAATTGTTTCCTTTGGAGAGTTAAATAAAACTCTACCACAGCCAATTGCGGTAGCTTATGCCTGTAATCCTAGCACTTTGGGAGGCTGGGAGTTCAAGACCAGCCTGGCCAACATGGTGAAACCCCGTCTCCACTAAAAATATAAAACTTATGGGCCGGGTGCAGTGGCTCACGCCTGTAATCCCAGCACTTTGGGAGGCTGAGGCGGGTGGATCACAAGGTCAAGAGATTGAGACCATCCTGGTCAACATGGTGAAACCCCGTCTCTACTAAAAATACAAAACATTAGGTGGGCATGGTGGCGCGTGCCTGTAATCCCAGCTACTCAGGAGGTTGAGGCAGAAGAATTGCCTGAACCCAGGAGGCGGAGGTTGCCGTGAGCCGAGATCGCGCCATTGCACTCCAGCCTGGGTAACAAGAGTGAAACTCTGTCTCAAAAAAGAAAAAAAAAAATGTATAAAAATTAGTTGGGCGTAGTGGCATCTGTCTGTAATCCCAGCTACCTGGGAGGCTGAGGCAGGAAAATCACTACAGGAGGCAGAGATTGTAGTGAGCTGAGATCACACCACTGCACTCTAGCCTGGGTGATAGAGCAAGACTCTGTCTCCCCCACTCCCCAAAAAAAAAAAAAGACAGTTGGGCATGGTGGCTCACGTCTACAATCCCAGCACTTTGGGAGGCCGAGGTGGGCGGATCATGAGGTAAGAGATCGAGACCATCCTGGCCAACTTGGTTAAACCCCGTCTCTACTAAAAATATAAAAATTAGCTGGGCGTGGTGGCGTATGTCTGTAGTCCTAGCTACTCAGGAGACAGGCAGGAAAATTGAACCTGGGAGGCAGAGGTTGCAGTGAACTGAGATCACTGCACACTCCAGCCTGGTGACAGAGCAACACTCCATCTCAAAAAAAAAAAAAAATGAAAAACCAAACAAAAAACTCCTCTAACTTGATATAAAAATAAATAACCCAATTTAAAAATGGTCAAAGGATTCGAATAGACATTTCTCCAGAGAA